CATCACACTGGATAGCTTTACGACGCCAAGATTGAAACATTTTCTAAATGGGCATCACCAAACCCACTTCTTTGCTTGTTCTTTGTAATGTTCATTTTCAAAAATAATGGTTTGCACAAATATGTACTTCCAAACATCGAAGTGAATATTTTCGCATGATTTGTGAAATTTTGATAAATATTTTCATTTAAGACGATACATTCTTACAAAAATTAAGCAGTGATGAATCTCCCGAATAGAATATGAATTTTATTTCCTTAGTGCTTTGCAATATATTCGAATATTTACTGCGCTATTGAACCCCTGCACTCAGCATCAACTTTTCTGCGTGTTTCCATTTGTCTAATTACAATTAAATTGTAGGCTCGTTAAACGAGTCGCTGTTCACTAAATTGTTGTGATATAGTATAATTAAGGCTAGACGTGTCTCACGATAAATTCTGTTACGTAAAAAAATGTAATTTACTCCTCGAGCGTAGATTATAAATAAAAAAATTTCATCGAAACCGTCGTTTGAATATTTCCCCGGGCATAGACTTCCATGTTTACTTCGTGACATTGGCCAATCAGCAAGAAGCAAAAAACGTAACAATGCCCCCTTTCGCATCCGCTCAGACACTCTCACTCAGACAGATTTTTAGACGTGGTCGTGAACACTACCTCATTTTTGCGTTTTGAATTATATTCGTTAGTTTTTAGTTGTTTTTCGGAAATTTAAATATAAATCAAATAAGCCAATGATTACTTTGTCTTTCTATGAGTTTCAGTTTAAATACAGCAATCAAAAATTAGTGTAAAAATAGCTGTGATAGACTAGGCTAAAATTCTTTATCGGTACTTTTAAAAAACAAATTGTTAAATGGTGTGTATTAGAATGATAGTTTGAAACAAATACCCCATTTTACAGGCAACAACTCGCAAAACCACTCTTAAAATAAGCACCGAAAATTTTAAAATGGTAAAGTATGGGAAAAATTTTCCGCGGTCAAAGGTCCATTCAGTGAATCGTCCCGGGCCAGATTATTTTACTCCGGCCGTATTTTGCCGACCACTGGGATACGCAAACTACCGTACCTTTCTGCGAAGACGAGACCAGAAATCCTTTCGCGTGTGAATATCACCCACATGATTCAAGCCTGCGAATGCACACAGAGTACAGAATTAAATGCGCCGAACATAAAACAGGTTTCGCGAAATCGCCCCCTTAGACTTTTTCGCCCCCCTCTGTATCGTTTTCGCCCACTGGGGGGCGATATCGCCCACTTTGGGAATCACTGACATAGATAGTGTTCCACCACGTGTTAAGTTGAATTCATCAATATTGTCCCGCAAATTAATAAATAGTCGCATGTCAGCATACACTAAATTGCCACATTTATGGTGAAGCAAAAATTACGGCTTCGAATTTTTTGATGAGCATAGACTTTGTCGCCAGGGAAGAAATCATGCGGAGCATAAGACAAGCAAAATTTCATACTCTGATTTTGATGAAAGCAATGATATTTCAATAACAAAAATGTCGAGATTGTACATTAAGTATTGTAGCCTACTTTGGATGATTGTCGCTTGATTCAGCAATAAACACTACAAACATAGACAAAGTGTATAAACCTTGGAAAGGCACGAAAACAAAAAGAAGCTATTTGAGTTAAACGTGTGCTTTGTTCGTATTCCGATAATACATAATAAGCTACCATTATTACATTCCACAAAGTTTGCAAATAAACAGTTTTGCTCAGTAAAAACAATATTTGCGCAGTGTGAAATTTTCTCAGAGGGAACACTGGTGCGCGTTGTGTCGATTGGAATAGATAGATAACGCGGTTCTGTCTGATGTGTTTTTTTCAAAGTTCGAAATGATCGTCCAAAGATTTTATTGTTGAATAATTTAAATAAAAGTTGGTCAAATGATAGTCAAATAATGGTGAAATAGGCTAGTTGTCAAACAGAAATTCGGTAAAATACAGTGCTATTACACAGAAGGGACAAATATAACTATACGAAACAAGGAAAACAGAATTATTAGATGTAAATTGAAACTAAGCCTAATTAATAATACTAAACCCCCCTTTGATTAGTTAGGATACAAATTTACACGTCCTACCTACAAGCGGCTCACGCCGAAAGAGATCGCGCCAACGCCAAAGTGGTCAAGGTTCAATGCCTAAAGTTACCGTTGCCAGTTTAGTTACAATAAGAGCGGTAACTGTTTAGAATCATCGCCGCTACACTTAGCACGATGAGCCACACCACCACGCCGTAAAATCATTATGGCACGCCAAAAAGGGCTACCGCGAAAATAGTGCGACGATGGTCGATGCATATCGCGCGGTCAACGAAGGAATGAAAATTAAAACGGCAGCAGAGAAATTCAATGTGCCACGGAAGGGTGGGGATTGAGGGCGGTTACATTGTCATTAAGTATACAAAAAGTGAAACAACAGGCGTGGCTAGTCGATAAATCTAGCAAAAAAATAAATAAATTTAGCAATAAGGGACCGGTGTGACTGGTGGAAGGGATTTCAGAAGCGCAACAGAAATATCTGCGACCTGAAACAGAGAAACCCCGATTTATCAGACCGAGCTCGGATTAGCATAACCATTGTGGAGGACTCACGTCATTACTTCCAGGATCTGGGAACAATTATGAACAAATTATATAGATATTTAATAGCGACGAAACAATGATAGATTCAAATAAAAAAAAAACAGAAGAAGGTTTTGGTTCCTTGTGGCACAAAACATGTGTATAGTTGTAAAATTGCTCCTCGGGACCACCTAACAGTTAGCAGTTGCATTAATTTTGCCGGCTGTGCGAATGCGTGCCACCACTTGTTATTTTTTCCTAGGCTGGCCCTGGTGGAAACTACGCAAACAACGGACCGAATGGCGATTCATATGCCAAGCCGGAGAATGACTCACATAAACAATATTTGGACCTCCTGAAGTATGCGCACCAAGATAGCGCACAACCTGAACTCAGGTTGTGTACCAGGTTAGGCTTGAGGTTGTGCGACATCTTGGTGCGCATACTTCGGGAGTACCCAATATTTTGATGATCAAATAGTTCAAAATTTTTTTTAAAGTATTGCCCTGCTGACAGAAGCCCTCTCCCACAAACTCTTGATGTTTGTGTATTTAAAAGTTAAAAAAATGAATCGGACAATTTAATATCAATAGGACAATCTTTGAGAGGAAATTTTTGGGGTGCAGAAGAGATGTTGCTTGCATTTTTAAATATCCACTAGAAAATGGTATGACCGTCAGCAATATCAAAAGCGGGTATTTGTCTCTTCAGTTTGAACGCCGTGGATAAAAAAAACAACTTTTTCCGTGGGTTAGAGGGCATGGGTACGTCGATCTGTCTCAACCGATAAAGCTCACTTCTGAAATCGCTGTTCAAACTGTTGATATTCAGGAGCCTTCAACATAAAAAAAATTATTAGTTCCCACTTCCTATGCAAAAAAGCCGTTAATTAGGCATGGAATAATTCCCGGAGAGTTGGCCGACGTCTTCACACCAGTGGACCAATTTTTTACCCAGAAAGCGCAAACTTCCTTTGTGCGTTAAATTAATTAAACACTTCAATCATGACAGAGAATGAAATGAAGGAAGATTTAAATGAGCAGAGGTGCGGTATTGAAATGAAGGAAACAAATAATCTGATTTGCGTTGTCTAAGACTTCCAAGCACAGAAAACCGGCCTGGCGACGATTAATGCGATATTTGCGGAAAGAATTACAATTACAAGAAATACAGACCTTCGCCGTAATCAGCCGAAATGGGTTGAGTGCAGCAAGCTGAGATGCCCTAATTGGACTTGTCCCGAATGCCTGCCATTAAATATTGGGTACTCCCGAAGTACGTGAACCAGGATGGTGGACACCGGAATGTAGTATGTGTACCAGGTTAGGCTTGGGTCTTTTAGCTGTAGCCCAATTTATCATTCATAGCCTTGTTCAGAGAAATTTTTAATACGTAATAGCTTTATATTTCACGTTTTTTCGTTGATTATTGTTGATGTTATTAATTTTTCATATTTTGTCATTTAATTTACTTTTGTCCTCTTGCCTTCTGAGTCACCCAAACAAGCAGATCAAAAGTGACGAGACAGACAAGACTCGATAGTACGGTAGTGGGTTAGACGAGATTCCTTCTTCATTTATTAAAGTTAAACTACAACGCAATTAATAGCCGTATAGTTGCTTTTTGAAATGGTTGACATAAGTGGCGATAATAGAGCAATCGTAGTTCCTATTATCGTCACACTGACATTTCTTCCAATGTAGTGAGATATCGCTGTAGGCGGTGGTGGGATTCAGCCGGTTCGCACCGGTTCTATGAAACCGTCTCACGGAAATTTAAGAAATCAGCAAACCGGTTAGCATTAATCAATTTATTTGCTGAAAAAAAATATGACTTTGGTAACCGGACCGGATGAAAAATATGACTTTTATGATGGAACCGGCTGACAAAAAAATTTGAATCTCACCACTGGCTGTAGCAAATTCATTGATGGGCTCGCTGCTGTTGGCATTTTTTTCTTCGTTGGGTTACTCATGTTCTAAGTAGACAATATAGAGAAAATGGTACGTAAATATTATAGAATTTAGATTGATCCCCACGAAAAAGTGGCGATAGGGTAACTTACCGCCATGTATTGGATTCATTTGAAGCGTTAAAGCAGCTTACGTAGTGACAAACATAGGTTTTCTTAACGGGGAGAACCTGTTGTTAGTATGTTCGATGCAAAAGAGAACCCGTTCTTAAAAGTTTCTATTAAAAACTTTTTACTTTATCTTTAATGTAAAATAATTTAATCAGAAGAGACAAAGAAAACTATATTAAATGGTTTCAAGCACTTAAATGAAGTGAATTAAATTAATTCGATTTTATATCTCCGATATAGTGAGTTCGATGAAATAGGGCCGTTCTTAAAAGTTTGAATCAGAAACTTTTTTATAACTCTGATGTAAAATATATTCATCCAAAAGAGAAAAAGCTGTTGCTGTTGTTTATGGGATTTATCTGCTCCACAGCAGAAGGTAAGTGTTGCATCTTATTTTTTAATCAAGCGCATTTATAATTTTTTAAATTTTCTGACAATTTATAGGTATATTAAAAAGGTTATCACAATATTTTAATCAGCTAAACACATTCAAAAATAAACTGACGAGTCATGTAATTGTGGCGTAAAAAGTTACTATTTATTAACACTATATACATTGTTACAGAAGCAAAAATGGAAAACAATAAAAATCGTGCCAAATCTAAATTTAATCGCAATCTCAACAAATTCCTTGGAATATTTTATAGTTAAATCATCCAAATTTGGTTTTAGTTTGGTTTGGAAGCATCAGGAGGGCCAGATTGAATTACCCAACGGGCCGGATTGGCCCCACATGTCGTAGTTTGCCCATGTCAGAACTAGAATCATTTATTGGACACGAAATACACCTATGAATTGTTTTGTTATTCTAGTTGTTGTTGATATTTTCTTCTTTTTGTTGTGAAAATTTTGTTTTTGTCATTAAGTACCGGATTGCTTGAAAACAACTACTTCTGTCATAATCACATCTTATCGCCTGATTCCGGCTTCAGGGATAGAAATAATTTAATTTTGGCATCCCGTGTATTTGTACTATTTTCTCGTAAACTTTTATTCAATTACTGTCATCCACCTTTCAAAAGATGAGTTTTATTGTAGTTCAACTAAAACAAGAGAGCTACGCCCAAATATATACAAAAAATGCCGAGTTTCGCGTAGAAATAATTTACAGAATCAAACCGGACAGCCAGTGTTCCCATGGATAAAATAATACAGCAAAATTTTGGACGAAATGTCAGATTTCATGCGAAATTTAGAAATAAATAAAAGTAATAGCCTTCTGGCAAAAAAATCAATCTTTACTCACTGAAAATTTCAAAGCAATTTTCAAATAATAACAATAACAACATAATATTGAAACGATCGTTATGTCCACTAAACGTGTCCAATTACAGACTGATATATATTAATATTATATCAGTAGTAGCGAGGTCAGTAGCAAGTTAACGGTGAGACGTCTATTTACATTTAGCCCGCCAATCTGTTTACTTTTCATTCTGGAGTGAAAAGTCGGATATTCCTATTGATATGTAGGCCGACGCGATGTTCCAAGAAGGCCAGCTTCTTTTATATTCGGAATACGATTTACCCAAGGGTTTTCGGGATGAAATTTAAACTTGCGATTTCAACATAATGAATTCATCGAGACCAACTAGTACGTTATCAGAGAAAACGATTATGGCATTAAAATGAATGAATTTTCCATAATTTGCAAAAAAACAGCATATCTGTCGCGAAGAAGGGTTCATTTATAACCGGAGATGTTTTTGGATCTTATTCAAACTTCCTTTTGGATTCACAAGTGCACAGGCAGAAGAAAAGTGCAAAGGATTCAATGCTTCACCGGCCAACATATACGATATACAGCACATTAACCAACTTTAAAGTTATGGACGTGGAAAAAATCCGACATCTGATTCAGTTTACGACGCGTTTCTGGGAATGAAGTACGATCCAAGTGTAAGAAATATTAATTTTGACCGATTTGGAACTCTGTAAATGGTATTTTCGTTTTCGTATGTGAATGAATATTGGCATATGTATATGATTATGCAAACGACAAGTGCTATGGAATAATTTGAATTTTTTCATTCGTTTTGAAGAGATAAATAAGGATTCAACATTTATGATGTTATGTAAAAAAAGTTTTAATGAATTATATTTTAATTAAACTTTTAATTTTGATGAATCCGCAGGCAATACAGGTTCACGTAAGGTAAAAAATATGGCACGGGTAATTCGTTGTTAAAAGGTATGAAAACGATAGAGAAAAGTTTATTTCCATAGAATAATGGATGTCATTTTCGTGACAGAACAATGTGTTGACAAATTACGGAGGGTTGATCACAGATTTGCCGGATTCGGTGTGGACGCAGAGGTTTAGAGCTTCTAAAATCAACACCGAAGTAGGGATAATTATTGCGAATCCTTCTGAGGACACTGATAATGGCATTGTGACGGGTACCACCAAGGTCTATGGTAGAGGTGTTATATGCGAAACTGAACGTTAGTTGTTGACATTTATGTTATCCCATTTTTAGTTTATCATACTATATATATTTAGTGATACTATATATATTTATGATTTAAATAATAAAAAAACATGCTCGTAACCAGGATGTTATGTTTTTTTTTTCAAATACTTATGATGGATATTTGGTATTTTTTGTTTTTTGAAAATATTCTTTTTTTCTTCAAAATATTTATTTTGAAGTGTTTTGGTGTTTTATTAACTTTTTAAGCTATTAACCTGAATCAACAAGCGTTTTAGGTGTCGCTGCCTGAAGACCTCTTGAGGTTCCTCGCGACTCCTGTCGCACAATTTAAGTTAGTTTCCACTTGTATTTGTAATTATTTTTTTATATATCATACCATGTTTAAATTGTGTTGACGAATAAATGATGATTGATTGATGATTGAGTAGTCAACAGTCCAAGTCGCTTTGAGAACTATTACATTTATTATTCTTCAAATATTGTCTGGGCTCCTGTTGACTATATTATCTTGGTGTCCAAATATTCTATGTTTGCACACCACTGCATTACCACGTGTGTAATTCTGCACACTACCAAGGTTTTGCCGACATATGCTATTGAATTATACATTACGATAATATGATCATCAAGCAATATGAAACTATTTTTTTTGTTACTTTTACCTCGGACACACTTATTCAATCTGTTCAACCGCATTTAATTCCGATTCTCGTTCATTTACAGAACTCAGTTGCTCGCCCCCACATATAAACATGGAAACCCAAACGCGTTCCTGTTCCGAAGACTCGCTTACTTGCATGTAAGTACGAGAATGGTAGTACGTGTTATTGAAAATCGACAAACACCGTCATTTAGTAATAACGCCTACTTCTATTATAAAGTTGAAGAAAGAATTACTAAACAAGTCGATTAATTTGGAACATTATAAGAGTTAAAATGATAAACGTAAAAAGGAATCATGGCTTCGTTTATAATCTGCTTGGTTGTGTAAGATTGAAAAATATTTGATCATAAGTTTACTTTTATATTACTTTTTCCAGTATATCTTGCAAACCTGGTTTTGTTCTTGACGACGGAAGCACCAGCATTACATTGACGTGTCAAGATAATCTTGAATGGGATGGAGAAGTGTCAACATGTCGACGTATGTAATGTTTTAATTATATTTGTGGTGAATTTCAATGAACATTGAGATTTTTCAGAACGAAGCACGACTGTATCTGCGTAAGTTTTTGAAACAGCACGAAGCAACCCCCCCCCCCCCTTTAAAAATCCCGGCTGCGCGTCTGCATCCGAATCATGTTGCAGTTGTGTCGAGACATTGTTTTGAAAAAACCTATTCAAACAATAATTGAATAAGGCTAGCTAGCCTTGTGTGTGTGTGGAGGAGGGGGGGGGGGGGGCTCAATATGATAATCCTTAACCATGCTCCAATGTTGTCGTGCGGGAAAGTGGGATATACGTTTCATTTGTTATGTGAAGAGGGGGGGGGGGGGGGTTCATATATTAAAAAAACTTAGTGAAATATCATATGTGGGAAATGTGTGTAATAATTTCACTGTGGGTGAAGAAACATTTCAATATAATTTTACTTTATCATACTTTCAGTGGCAATTCTACCGATTGCTGAATGAGTACTGCAGACTATCTAAGACGGATCTCGACACAACATATTAATCTTCGACAAAACTTACCTGATTTTAAGCCTATTATCCGTGCTTACATAATATAAGGACGAAAACTTGAAGTTCATTGGAAACTTTTATAAGCTGATTTAAATACATGTTTGAATATCATTCGTCTTAAATTTGCATGTTAACTTTTTTTACTGGATGGAAAAAAAACTTGAATATGACTTTGGTAGTCGTGTCATTGTGTTGGAATACCATAAATGATTTTTATTGTTTTACCTCCCGCATAGTTCCAGGCCACTCCTGTCGTGATAAAATCAAACCATGTCCTTCTTATTACCCTATCCCGCCACGACAGTTCAATAGAGAATCTACCATCGCTATTGGCAGCATATCTACACTCGTTAAAATTGTTTTTTTCAAAAAATGCACTCGCGAATATATCATGGGACAATATGAAATTTGCTACCCAGCGTAAAAAGCGTCCCAATATGGCCAGTCGACAAACAACTGCTACTTCATTTTCTAGTTACCACATTCCCAATAAAGCCCAATATTAAAAACTGTTTGTGCATGCCATTTTTCTCGCTTAATTGATTTTAATTGTCTAAGGTCTTTATCCTATAGGTATATTAATGAATTACTTTAATACATTTTGTCTTTAATTGGCATTTTCCTTCACTATCGAAAACCGTTCAATTTGTTCATTTACTATGACTGTATATATCAGTTTGCTTACAACTATCAATAACAATAATAATTAATGTATATTTTTCTCAGTTATACGAGACTATTTTCAGTCATGAGATTAGCGTGATTCGATTGGCATCCTAGAAGCGTAATCAATGCTATAAGTTTTAGTGGTGTGCGGATTCAGTAAAAATAGAATCCGAATCCGTCCAAAAAAATTCAGAATCCGTCCGAATCCGAAATCTTTAAAAAATATATCCGATAAAATCTTGCCTTTTTTGAGTAGAGATTTTCACATACTTCAGCGAATTCGTCAGTAAATAAAAAACTTATTCTTATTCATTTGTAAACATAGTTAAGGTAATATTCTCTGTAACAAAGAAAATCAGAAAGATAACGAAAAATCAAACAGTGACTAAACGACTCAAATTTATTAAAGTAAAATATGGCCTACAGTGTGATTTTACTGTTCATTGATCACTTTAAATCTATACTATAAACTGTGGACAATTCCATTATACCAAGTTAAGTTAGGATGAATATCCTATATTCAACACGCTAGCAGAAATCCAAAATTACTGCTTATTCACAAGACTGCAATCATCTAACTTAACTGCAATAATTCTTCTCAAATAATTAATGATACAATTAATGCTTGCTCACATATATATATATATAGACATTCTAAAAAAATCTCATTATACAGCAGATAATGCTTATTGATAGCACTTCAAAAACAACAAATACTTGAGTAACTCAACTCATGGACTAAATTTAGCATTCGAATTTAGCACTGCAAGTGCACCCACTGAAGATGCAGATAAACATGCTTTTTTTGTCATAACATTGCCACAAAAACCGAAAGCAGGCTCACTTGAAGCAGGAATACTCAAGATTCCTAAAGCTAAACGACTCAATTTTGGGCAAGCCTGTTTTATGTCACTCTTAGTCCAGAATTTTAGAATATCAAAGTTTCCATCATTCACACAAAACTGATTTGTAAAAGCGTCCTCAAATATGGCATTGACGTATGTTTCTACTTCACTGCTTGAAACTCTAGACAGGCTGTGGCAAGTCTTACCTTTCTAAAAACTCATCATCAAAACATCTTGGTCTTTTTTTTGCTGGAGCATAAGTGTGGTCCTCCCTGGTCACACTAACTGTAGGCGTTATGCCAGATAACTCAAATTGCTCTAAAAGATCTTCAATCATTGCGTATATCCTTTTTCTCTCATAATCATCGAAGGCGATGAGTGATTTGTATATGGAATTTAGAAACAAATCCAAACGATGCATATCATGAATTTCAACTTTTTCCCTCAAGCACACAAACCCCCTTTCTTTTAAAAATATTAAAACCGTTGCATTGTTGGGTTTTGGAACTAGTCCCTGTTTAAGTTTTTCTATCCACTGATACCTTGTGAATCGCAGAGTATGAATCACCTTCCAAAAAATTTGATGGCTTCGGAAAATGGCAATAAAAATTGAAAAAGATCACAGACTACTGCTGTATCAATGTGCAATAATTTATCTCCCTGGCCACGTTCAAACAATTCTCTTTGCAGTTGGAGCCTTGTGCGAGTGAAAGATCGTAGCATTGCTAAAGTTGAACTCCATCGTGTTGGACAGCTTGTCACTAATCCAGGAGAAATAGAATCTTTAATCCTGACTTTTTCACAAATTTTGCAAAGATTTTAATCCCATTGAACGTTGCTTTCACTTTATCGACAAATATCATTTTTTGATCATCAGAATTAATTGGTTCTACTGTGCGACTTGATGCATCAAGTTGCAAAGTATGTCTCAGAACAGTCTCAAGCTTGCACAGCATGCACAAGCACACGTTTGTAACTAGCCAGGGCAACCTGGCCTTGATCAGTCACAAACACAAAATGCGATAAAAGCTCTTGTTGGGAACCGAGCTGTTCACCAGCAGATTCCACACTATATTTTTTCACCAGATTAAGGTTTTTACTCAAAACTGTATACAGTTAATATACGAGACTTCAGGATGTTCATTTCGTCGATAAAGTGTACAGTAAAACCAATAAAATTTCGCATTTTAAAATCCGTCCACATAACCAAAGTGGCAGGAAATAGGAATTTCTTTTTACTGCTACTTTTATTTCATCTATGAGAGAGCCTTTGACAGCTGCTGCATTCTCAATAAGCCGGCGCTGCACAGTTGTTCGACACAGTATGATGTCCATCACAGGCACATTACCAAACTTTGCCCCAATCTGAATACAGCAGCTCATAAGTTGCTGTAATCCAGTACCCTCTATGGCCTTATATCCTGAGCGACAAAAGCGACTGCAGCATCTAAAACAGGGGTTCCCAAACTTTATTGGACGCGGGCCAAATTTAGAATCGGGAGAATGTTCGCGGGCCGGAATAGTTTAGCGCCCGAAAGTTCGCGGCGGTTTAGCTGGGGTTCAGTGGATTCACTTTCATTTGACATTTTTTGCAATCTGTTTGTTTGACTCACAATGGCATTTTATGTCGTATTCCTTCAGAACTTGAACCACCCATTGGCAAGGAAGACAAATCGCTGAAGTTTGATTCTTTGCAATACAGAAATATGAAAGCTACCATTTATCCCGGAAACGTCTATTTGTGAAGTCTAGTTTTGTTTGTTTCTTTGACATCTGTAAGCTTTCTTATAAGGCTGATAACTTAATTACTGCTCTTTGTAATCCTACCGTGTTTCCGTGAAAATGAGACCAATCCCGTAAATAAGACCTAGCCTGAATTTTAAGAATGATTTTAATATAAGCCTCACCGTAAAATAAGACGTATAGTCAGTAGCACCTAGTCCAGGGGTCGGGAACCCATGGCTCGCGAGCCATATATGGCTCTTTTGGTGACGGCATATGGCTCCCAGAAAAATCTATTATTCTAAGATTAAGCTTACTATTGTTACTAGACTTCAAACTATTTTATGGCCAAATTTGGAAAAAAATTCCCAATACGTTTGACAACGCGGGCCCAGCGCATGTCTATGTTATGTAAGAGAATTACCAAAACCAGACAGGAATTGTGACAAAACATGGGGATTCTGGAACATATATTGTGACATCACAAGGCGATAGAGTTTTAAAATACTACGGAGATGCCTAAACGAAAAAGGGTGATGAGTATCGTAGATTTCAACTTGGGCTGCATGTGAGCAACCGTTCAAGGCCCGCAGCGACAACATGCAGCATCAGAAGTCACATTAAATGTATATTGACATGGAATGTGTTGACTTTTGAGTAAACGTTTCAGGCCTGATTAAGTGAAGAAATGTTATATGGCTCGCAAGGAAATGCAATTGAAAATATGTCTATTTTAGGGCTCTCTTGACCAAAAAGGTTCCCGACCCCTGACCTAGTCGATAGAAGGAAATCTCCCCTACACGTTGAAAATGATTAATCTAACAAGTGTGAAAGAGGAATACGTGCCATTTAAGTAAATGGATATTTGTTTTCATTTTTTTTTATATTTGAAAATCTTTGTAATTTTTTTTTGATTCATGAAAATAAAAGACACGCCCCGAAAATAAGCCCTAGTTATATTTTTCGAAAGAAAATTGAAATAATCTGTTCTATTTTGGGGGAAACATGGTAATACCGGTACGTATTATTGAGATATCGGCATAATTGAATTGTTACGCGATAAACACATGCTTAAACTGTGGTAATGACATAACAACATCGTTTTACTCAAGTTCGGCGGGCCATTTTAAATTGTTACGCGGGCCGGATTTGGCCCGCGGACCGCGGTCTGGGAACCCCTGATCTAAAACTTTGGGTTTTGTTTCTTTGGGTATGTTTTTTTTACATGAAAAGAGCTCGATATTCTTCCGTGGCTATTTTTCAGACTATTGCTTAATCCTCGGCATTTAGCCGAAGGATTTTTAAGATGGCTTGTCTCACTAAGTGCTTTGTCATGTTTGAGATCTTTTTTGCAGTTATCATACCTGACATAACCAGTATATTCTGACCCATTAAATCAGGGGTGGGCAACTTCTCTAGTCGGCGGGCCAGATATGGGAAAATGAAGTACTCGGCGGGCCAGATGATTACAAAAATTCTTTGGTATCCAATCTTTTTTAGATGCTCATGGTGATGCTCTGGAATATCATACTGTCTATCTTGATATATTCTGGTTTAAACAAAGAATTATTCATTAACTTTTTTTTTGGATGGATTTGGATTAATCAAGAAAAACATGCAGAGCGGAAAAAGCACGCATGCTGATTTCCAGGTTTCTGAATCTTGCGAAATTTGACGGAGCGCTTTCACGATGAATCGAAACCGAAAAAGAAAAAAGTGATTACTCAGCGCCAAGACGTCGCCGGGCCAATAATACCGCACTTATCAAACACCAATATGACAGCGGAGGAGAAATTGCGTAATAAACCAACATAACTTTGATCTATTAATCAAGTAAAGCATGCAGAACGGTAAAAGCACGCATGCTGATTTCCAGGCTTCTGAATCTTGCGAGATTTGACGGAGCGCTTTTGCGATGAACCAAAAAGTATGATTGATTACTTGGCGCCAAGACGTCGCCGGGCCACCCCGCACGTATCCAACAGCAATATGATGGCGGAAGAGAAATTGCGTAATAAACCAACGTAACTTCGTCTTCGGTAAAACGATTAAAACGGTAAAAAAACAACAAAATGAAATTTTCCGCGGACCGGCAAAAAAGCCTCGCGGACCGGCACCGGTCCACGGACCGACGGTTGGGAATCACTGATCTAAAGCATAGAACTTTTATTGTGTAAATGAGTTCTCAATAAAACATTCCCTCCCCCAATAGTTTTCTGAGATTACATCGAATTTTTAAAAGTATTATTTGACAGACCAACTTTTCTAATAGTCATCTTCAGTGTGAAACTTACTCATTTCAGAAAATAGGGTGGGAGTTGACCTCGAAGACCTCATGGTCGTATCGCTCCCTCCTGTCAATACCGAAGCAATTTTATTTGTGTTATGTATTTTTTCGTATTGATGACTGTTTGTTTTTGGTTGACAAAAAAATAAATCTGTTTATGTGGATATGGATTATGTTTATGAAATGTTTACAACGC